CCCTTCCCAACTTTTCCATGCCTTGCTGTCTAATGTTTGTTTTAAAATGATCCACCCATTTTAGTGGTGGTCTTTGTCACACGTAGTCTCCATTTTATTACTCTGATTGTCCATGTTTGGACCGGTATATCGTTTATTGTAATTTGGACGTTTGTGTTGATGTTCTTACTAATTATCATTATTGTTGTCTTCTTACAATTTAGTTTTAGGCCGTATTTTTAACATGTTTTTGTAACACTATCCGTTATCCTTTGGAGTCCCTGCGCACTATCTACCAGCAATACAATATCGTCTGCATATATCTAATATTATTTCTAAGTTGACCATTTCTTCTTCTTCTAGTTCCATGACCGCTATCGATCGTTGGATATCATGTTGGCTACCATATTCGCTATCGTGACTTTATTGACAGCAGCTCTAAATAACGATGTTATTTAGAGCTGCTGTTATGCTAACGATGTTATTTAGAGTTGACCATTTACTGCAATACAATCTACGGTTTCATCTAACTAATGCTTCTCTAAAGATGTTTTCAGAGTACATGTTAAATAATGCTGCTGGCAGTACGCAACTCTGATGAACTTCTTTTCTGACTTTGAAGATCTCGAACAGTTCATTTTCGAATCGCACTGTTGCTTTTTATTGAAGATATAAATTTGAGATTAGTCTTATATCCTTACTTTTTAGGATATCGATTAGTTTCCCGTGTGGTACTTTATCAAATGCTTTCTCGAACCAATGAAACATGCACACACATCACAGTTGACATCCCTAGCTCTCTGTATTGGCTGAAACCAAAGTGAGTTTCACTTACGTGTTCTTCTAAATTCTAATTTGGTGTAAGTACATGACTTATCAAACTAGCGTTAATTTCCTAGCATTAACGTTTTTGGGAAGTGGAATGAATATTGATATTAGCCAGTCTTTTGGTAAGTGACCACCAGTCTCTTATATGTTATTGAATAGCTTCGTAAGAGCTGTGATTTAGTGTGCCTCTAATTGCTTTAAAATTTTGCCATGCACTTTATCAAATTCTGGTGATTTCCCATCTTCGAATAATTCTTGCATGTATTCTTTCCTCCTCCTTAATTTATCTTCAATTTTAGTCAAAATCTGACTTTTAATGTCTACTTTTATGACTGTATTGGGTTGTTTTGTGGTGTTCTGTATCTCTTTAAACTTTTGTGCATATGGAAATTGTAATGATTGCATTGTAGTGTTTCAATTTCCTCGTAAATTTCTGCATAAGCCGTTTTGCTCTTTTTCATGTAGATTTTTCGTTTTAGTTTCATGTAGTATATTCTTATGCAACGTTTGTATTCATTTTCATTTCTACCTTTTAATTTCCTGCGCTCTTCCATTATCTTATCGGTCATAAATTCTTGCTTCTTCTCTTTTTTGATTTAATATTTTCATGAGAAAGTATGATAATAGATGTCTTCATTTTGTTCCTCTGCTCCTCTATACCGGTAGTAGTTTCTTCGGCTATTTTCGAAAAATTCTTATTAAGCTCTGTTTTTACTTTTTTCACGATGTTTTCTTTTAGTAGTTTTATATCTATTTTGGGTCTCATTTTCTTATGAATTATTTTGATTTGTATTACTTAACAATTATTCAAGTACATTTATTTTAAAAACAACACAATAATTTAATTTTAATAATTCTTAATAACTCTCGGAAAACGACCTCATCGATAACTTTTTCGATAAATTGGGCGGCATAAAGCTCATTGCAATCTGATCGTTAACACGGATTAAATTCTGACAAGCAAATTTCAACTAAATGAGGAATCACTTTCGATTTATATTTTTTAAACTTACGACAAAAAAAATATCACTCAGAATAGTAGTGTCAACGGTATATCTCTTGTGTCACTGCCAGTAATAACAATACTAAAATAAAAAGTAAATGTTAAAACTAGAATAAGAAAACAGCTTTAAAACTGTGGACATAAAGTATTTTTAAAATATAATAAAGGAAATAATAGCAGCAAAAATATCAAATGGACGTAGAGGAAAAAATTTATCTAACATGGAAATGGAGAACATAGTTGAACACATAAATAGGAGGAGAGAATAACACCTTATCTTCTTCGTGTGCCTCGTCCTTTGTGCGTTCATCATGGCCTATTTTACTCTGTATGTAGCAGTTCTGAAGAGTTCTCTTGTTATTTTTCCACTCCACTGTTTTTAATTTTTCAACCAGGGCCCTGATTCTATTTCATTTTGATGTCGAAATTTAAAAGCGACTACGCCATGACAGTCGCAAGCCCTGGTGATTCTCATTCATTTCGATTTTAGTTAAAAGTGGGGATATTTACTTTATCATTTTGACATTGCTCAGAATTTGGATTGGCCGTCTTGTTTATTGGCTGAACGCTGCACAACGCTTGTTAAATATTTGTTTTGTTTACGTTACGCCTTTTGTTTCTTGTTTGAGTTGTTAAATTTTTATTGGCCATTCTCAATTATTATATTTTGAATGGAAAGAAACTCGATGGAGGGGCTGTCGGTGATGGTGACACTAAATTGTCTGTGGACCAGAAAGAAATTATGGTGGCTTTTGACTTAGTGGTTATATTCTAATATATTTTTAAATTTACTGCAGCTTAGTAATACTTACCCTAAATATTTTGGTTCTCCTAGAGGCATAAACACCCTCCTCCAAATATGGTTCTAATATCCTTATCTAATAATTTGCAGCTTGTTTATTAAGGCGGAATTGCTGCCTAAATTGAGCATCACTTAGTGAAAAAGGATTTTGAGTATCCCGTAACATTCTTCTTAAGGTCGTATGACACTATGCATTTTATTGTATCATTTCTTATATCGTTTCTGATATAACAAAAACTGGATAGTGTCTTACAAGTGTATAGTTCTTATATCAGAAACGATACAAGAATTTGTGTCCGCTGCAGTTTCTTGTACAAGAAATGCGCCAATTTGTGCGCAAAAATGTAAAGCTTATGTCATGATGGCGGCTGGAGGAGAACTTTGATATACAATTAGACCAAGCAGACATCTGAGAAATGTGCCCACCAGGCACCAACAATAACCAAGATTAGAACAGCAGTAGCCAAATTGAAAAACAATAAATCACAGGGATTGGACCAAATAGCATCGGAACTACTGAAAGTAGGAGGAGATGTATTACTAAAAACAATACATAACCGCCCTAAAAGTCGTGATGAGTTTAAAGATTATTTTATATCTCCAAATAAGAGAGTAGAATTTCAAGAGCATGCCATTCAAACACATAATGTGTAAAAAAAAACAAATAAATTATTACAACCAAATTATTTATTATTTCTATCTTCCATTACAGCCTGTTGAATATCTTCAAAAATTGTGGTTTCCAATTTCGTTTTAATATTGGGACATTTTATTTCTTTAATTTTTGCACCACAGTATTTTAAAAAATAATCAGTAGTATTTTTATAGGTGTCAAAATCTCGACCAATCATGTGCCGAATCACATACAATTTCTGGTAGAAGAACTTGCATAGTATCATACAGAGCACAAATGTACGTACAAAAAACGATACAAGAAAACATAAATAACTTTATATATCAGAAACGATATAAGAAATGATATAAAAGACTATACATAGTGTCATACGGCCATTATCCTCCGTTGTGAGCGTCGGATATCTATCCTCTCTAATTCCTCCAAAACCAGCAAATGTCCATAAAACGCAGCCATATTAATACTTTTTGCCTCAGTTTTCCTTGCAAGAATCAAACAAAACAACACCGCCTAAACTGAACCTAATCTCACTTCTCCCTGTCCAGCCAGTCATGGCACATTAATTTCGACTCGAAAGGAAATGTCAACCACTTTCTTGAAGTTGAAATTAATCTCGATAAATCGAAAATTAGTGACGTCTTTTGGTTAGTTCAGCTGAAATCCACTAGGCTCGCAAAGTCGCATTTCGACGTCGCCATATTAATTTCGACATGTTTTAAGTCGAAATCTCAATTAGAATCAGGGTCTGTTTGCTCCTCTCTTTTCTTCCATTTTCCCTTGTATAACTAATCACTTCAGCTCATATTTTTCATTTCTTAGATTGTAACTAAAGTAGCTTATTTTTCTTTCCTTCATAGTGTTAAGTATTTCTTTTTCTTTTTTCATCTTAATGTTCTCGTGTTTGTTCAGTGCTCTGTCCATAATATTTTCCATATTCTTTGATCAACCAAATCTCATACTTTTTTCAGTTGCATCCGTAACTTTCCGGCTTTTTAAACCATTTGATCGATCGATTTGAATTTTGAGATTCTATTTTAAGCACCGCAAGTCCCAACATTTCATGTAATATAAATTTATGAAGGTTCCAAGTTCATTTTTTAAAAAGTTATTAACGTTTATAAAAAACAGAAATTTCTGACTTATTTTGAAACTTTCTAAGCAACAATAATAATAGATAAAAATATTTTTAAGGTTTTTATATGATTTATTAAGATTCTTACTCTCAAATTTGTTTTAAATGTTATACTTTTTGCTGATAGACGAAAAAAGAGAAAATTTCCCGTTTTTGGACCTTAATTTATTAAGTCCTAATGAAGTCCAAAAAATCGACGGCAGGAAAAATATAGGTTCTTGTTACAGAGGTCCAATATACTCAAAATAACTGTAGTTTGCCTGGCGGGGTCACTATCACGATAATAATCATTTGTCTGGACTTATTTGGAAAAAATGAAATAATGATACCAATGATACGATAGAGTAAACACGTAGAAGAACAGATAGGAAATATTTAGACATAAATACGGAGAAGTAGTGTTAGATATACCGATGATATTTTAGTTTAAGTACGTTGTCTAGTAGTAATCAGTTTTGACGATCAGTTCAAGTTTTACCAAAAATAATCGACAAGAACTTCGTTGTTTAAAAACAAAACAAAATTCAACTGCAGCTCAGTGTGTAATAATTATTGTAACATGTAGTTTGGTCACTATAGGGCCACACATAAACCCCGATCTGATTCCGTTTCGTATTTGCAGGAAATAAAAAATATTCAACTGGAAGAGGGTCCCAGAGAGAAAGACGATGACGAAATGGATGTATCAGATGATGATGAACCTATCAAGAAGAAACAAAAGACTGATGTATCCAGTGACGACATATATAGGGAGGAAAATGATAGTTTGAAGTGTCAGATTGAAGCATATAAAAACGAGGTGAATATTTTTTTAATTGCTATTAAAATTTTCCACATATGTTAAATTTAACAATATTATCCTTCTTTGTTGTTTTTTTAACTCTGTTATATTTGTTTTCGGGTCTTTAAACATTTATCACTAACTGTTAATTTGATTCAGGCAACAGCCTGGTTTCGTTTATATATATTAGCTTAGGTTTTATTTTATTTCTATATTACAATTCTTACACTTCAGAACATTTTTTATTAGAGAATCAATAATTTAATGTTTTGTTTAATTTGAGACTAATTTAGCTTAAATATTTCTTATATATTTCAGGTCGAAGTAATCAAATCTGACCACAAAAAAACTATGGAGGAAAAAGACAAACAGTTTAAAATGTTACAGCAAACTTTACAAGGAATGCAGCAACAATTAATCGATGCCAAAAAGAAACAGAGTGAAGAAGAGGCTCGGGTTAAAGAGCTCCAGTTGAAGCTGAAAGTCGAGAAGGGTCGACAGTTGAACGACAAAGATGTCGTGGTCATTGACAGTAGCGACAATGAGCAGTGTGACTCTGGAAGCGTAGAGGAGAGTCCTTTGGAAAGCTTGCATGGTTTTTCCGAAAACGACGTTCGATTGGTGGGAATAATCTCGACATTTCTCAACGTCCATCCATTTGGAGCGGGTTTAGATTATATATGGTCATACGTCAGTAAAATCGAAGCGAATCTCAGGCCAGCGGAGATTGAGAATCTCATGTGCAGATTTCCTTCAATCTTCAAACAGGAATTGGTAGGAATCGGCGCCAATATTGAGAGGAGGTGGATGTTTATAGCTTTTAATTCAGAATCTGGTGATAAGAGTTATTGATGTTATATGGTTTTAAGTCACAGAATGTGTTAGTTGATTATTATTAAATTATTTTCACTGTTTCAAACGATTACTTTTTTTCTATACTTTCCTGATTAAATAATATGATCATTACAAACAATAAAAAAAATTGCATAAACTGAACTATGTGTTAGAAGGTGAGAGATCATAAAAAACGTAGAATTGGTCGTCACTCAATGTGAATAAGTGATCTACAATACTTTATTTTTCCTACTTCGAACTCCCATCAACGTCTAGTTGAGGTTCTCAGCCCAGTAACGCATCACCTCGATTACTGCATCCCTTACCAACCATAGATCGTCGTGGGTAGAGGTTGAGCGCTTGATGGCGAACCTATGAGACGCGTGCCAGTGTTGACATGCGAGCTCATTTTTTGTAATACACATCTTCAAAGATAAAATATTTTATAAATCAAATATTTGTCTGTCATAGTGGCCAGAGTTGGTTATTAATAATATTATTTTTCACTTATTAATAATTACATTAAGTATAATTGCATTAATAATGTAATTCTGAAACCAGACGTTCATGTAAAAGTATAATAATATTAATGTTTTGTGTGAAACTTGAGGTCGCTGATTATGAATCAATTAGCACATAAAATAGCTGGCTTAACTTATTGCTGTTATTTGTACTAAGAAAAGAACTTACCTTTGAAATATTGGTGTATTAATCGTAGCAGGTAGAAAATGTGTAGTTCTTGGTATATAATAGTGAGAAACTTTCTGGTCATACTTATACGTGGTCCGTAGGGCAAGTGACACCATAAATCAACTTTATTGTATGGCGATTTTGAATGGCGATAATTCAACTAAATGGTCACAGAAATATGATACTTTACAGCGTTTTCTGTGCTCTGTGCAATATAATTTCCAAATAACAAAGGGAAGTCAATATCTTTGAACTTTGAACTGAAAAAAACAAACTAAAGGTGCTAGCCAGTTTGACAATGAGATTTTACTGAATAGAAAAAAATGGTATCTTTTAAAGTAAATAAGTAGTTAGAATATACCATTAAATAAGATCACACTATAGCACAGTGATAAAAAGGTTGAGTTTACCGAAAGTACAAGCTGAATATAGCCGCAAATGTCACAAATATTTCGGTTTGGCAGTGATGGCATGTTTTTATAATGCATATGTTGAATGCTTCAAATATAAAGAGATAAAGCTTTTAAAAAGTACATTTTGAATATACTATTTAATGAATTCTGCAATTTTTATTCTATATGAAGTAATAACGAGTAGATATTTGTCTCTTCTGAGATTAATTGCAAACATCTTTTGTAATCTGGCAACTGCTGATTTGACGATTGCCTAATCTATCAAAGGGTAACTGGTAACTGCTACAAAAATTTCTAATAATTAATTGCAATTAATCTCCAAAGAAACAAATACTTACTCATTGTTGTTTTATATAAATCAAAAATTGCAGAATTCGTAACACAATATAAACAAAATGTACTTTTCTAAATTTTACATCTACATTCTAAAAACCATGATACTATGAATAACAAGATAGGATCTTCCCGTAGCACAAAATTGGTCGTGTTCGCGCATGCCGTCATTGGAGAGTAGAATTTGAATTCTTGTTAAAGTTAAATGGGATTTGTATGCATTCTGTGATGAAATTACTAGACGAAAAATAAGTTAAGAGGTTCAATAATTACAATAATCGTACACATAAGGATATCTCCAAACTATTTATTAAAGATTATTTATTGACACATAGAAAACACTGACATTTCGAACGTGCAACTCTCCAATGACGTCACGACTTATGCGCAATATCTTATCTTCTTATAGTATCATGCTAAAAACATGCCAACACTGCATGTGTTAAAGATTATTTATTGACACATACAAAAAACTGACATTTCGAACGTGCAACTCTCCAATGACGTCACGACTTATGCGCAATATCTTATCTTCTTATAGTATCATGCTAAAAACATGCCAACACTGCTATACCGAAATTTGTTGTTCCATGTTTGACATTTGCGGCTATAGTCAGCTTGTACTTTCGGTAAACTCAACCGATAAAAATATTAAATATGAAATTAAATACTGAATACTGTCCCAAACATTTTTCCTCTCCAAAAATGAATGTTTTTAAGAACAGCTGAAAGTATAAGTCTAAAGAATATGCATGAAAAGATCGATACGCTAATAAAGAACTAAGTAAGAATAGAATATGGATTGACAAATAGGCATCGGTCATATTTTGACCATAGGACATTGTAGAATCCCATCTAAAACTGTGCTGATTAACAAGGCGTACAATGCCATCAGTTGAAAAGAATAGCGTCGAATCAATAGAATTTTTCGACCTACTAAACTAGGAAGACTGTGTCAAACAGAATTTCGTTGGCCTCTTTTCCGGACAATTCCGTCTTCTTCTTCTTTGAGTGCCTCTCCTATCGAAGATTAGATATCATTATGGCGATTCTAATTTTATTTGCTGCTGTTTTGAATAATTCGTTAGTGGTACAGCCAAACCACTCTCTCAAATTTCTCATCCAGGACATTCTTCTACGGCCTGGATTTCTGCGTCCTTGGATTTTTCCTTGCATAATATTTTATACTAATGTGTACTTTTGTCCTCTCATCAGGTGGCCTCAGTAATCAAGTTTTCTCTTTTTTAGATTCATAATAACTTCTGGATCGTTATTTATTCTGCGTATTACCTCTTCATTTGTAATTTTATCCACCCAACTTATTTTTATTATACGGCGGTAGCACCACATCTCAAAGCTTTCATAATTTTTAATATTCCTCTGTTTAAGAGTCCATGCCTCAACACCGTAAAGCAAAGTACTGAATACATAGCATTTTAACATTCTAGTTCGTAGATGAATACTAATATCACGATTACAAAAACAATTCCGTGAGATGCGAAAAACAAGAAGAATACCAGCTTCGAAATCTCGGCATGGTGTCGCATTTTAGAGGAAACTCTTTGACGATACCCGGGGAGTAATGATATTTAGACGAGCTCCACGGTAGGAAAATGCGAATTTGGTGAAAATTTTAACAATTGTGCCGGTGATAGAACACGACTAGCACAATCAGAGAGGATTTGATTAGAAGGCACATAATGCCGAGTATAGCGTGGTATCAGTTCTTGCTTGTGTTTAATATAATTGACAATTTTTGGGTAGAAAAATTAGCTGAAGGGAGCGAATCGTCGAATCAAACCAAACGTCGGATAAAAAACTCTTTGACAGATGTTACTAGATCATCCAGCAATATGGATGTCGGGAGCTCCAATTTTGTCTAAACAGTACGTGCATGAAAAATAGACGAGAGTCGTTGACAAAAGTGACTAGATCAGTCAGCATTATAGCTGACAACAGCTCCGATCTTGCGAGTCCGCTTTACATTTACGAGTACTCGGATCCGAGTTACTGTACTCGGGAGTGCAACTCGGAAGTATAAACGTCTACTCGAAGCCTTTTGTCAACTTCAATCCGGGCTCGGATCCGAGCTCGGATTGAAGTTGAACGCAAACCGAGTAGCAGTACGAGTTCCTGTACGAGTGAGCGTCAAAGTGGTGGAAATTCCAAATTAAAAATGGCGGAACTAAGATTTTCTGCAGATCAAATGGATCAATTTATCGATCTTTATCGTTCTTTTGAATGTTTATGGAATATGAAACTAAAGGAGTATCGGGACATTATCAAAGGAAATAATGCTTTAAATTAGATTAAATTAGGTAATCATTAACTTTAACAAACCTCTTGTAAATGTTGTTTCACCCAAATGCTTTTCTTTGTCTTAATTTTTTGTCGTTATTTTTCTCCTTTAAAATGTTTAATAACACTAATACAAGAGCAGCTCGTTTCTTTCTTGATGGCGCCATTTTTAAATTCTCTTTGAAACTACTCTGATCGCTCGGATTTAATGTAAACGATCGCAGTTCCACTCGTAACTCAAATCCGAGTACTCGTAAATGTAAAGTGACCTATAGATGGCAAAATAACATTAGAAATGAAGGGGTATGTTACGATGGTCGCAGCGAGGCTCGGTGGTCGGCAGCTCATAGTGTCAATCGTAGAGTACTAGAAAATCGAAAAAATACTAAGCTGGTTCAAGTACAAGTAAAGACTATGGTCCGATACGTGGCTCGAGGCTGGGCGCTGCGCTTTGACAGTGAACGCTCGCATTTAAAATAATGCATTTATTTTACGTGGCGATAATATTATGATACAATCCTATGGTCCGATCGAGGGTCGGCGCCTTATTGTGAACGCACACTTACACATACAAATACAGAGATCAGTTGTATCTGTTCAGATGTTTTATCATCCCAGGATACATTGAAGCACCACAACGGTTGTAGCAGACGTTTGACTATGGAAAAATAAACCATGAGGATAGAAAAAAATATTAGTTTTTGGTCCTTTAGCTCATTCTCCATGACTTCCTTTATGGCTTCTGTCAGATTTTTTGTGGCTTCCAGGATTTTAATGCCTCCTTACTCGATTTCGTTTACCCATTGCGTGACGTATTTATCTTCCGAGAGCTCTTGTATTACCTCAATATAATTGAGGATTTACGAAGGAGATACGGCCCTGCATATGGTTTTAGTCGACTATAAAGAAGTGTGGAGAATATTTTATAAGTGCTGAATATTTTTAGCAATAAACCAAAATTAATCATTTTAGCTGAAATAATTAATTAGTGCGCCTATGGTTCATTCTTTTTCATGTCAAGCCGTTAACAGACAGAACAGCAGAGCAGGGAGCAGAAGTAGCAGAACACTGTGTGTTCCATGTGTGTTCTGTCATGTCATAACCTAACAAAACAAAATGAAAACTCCTAACCATCTCCTAACCCAACATTTTATTAATCAAAATCAAATTATCACAAATAGTATTCTGTGGTTTGATTGCAATTTGCAATCAATGATATGCAATGATCATGGATTATGATGAAATATTTTAACATAAACTACTTATAAATCTGTTTTCAGAAAAAAATTATCATAGTGGGAACTTGGGTTTACCAGTTATATTTGTCCTTTCAGTACTTAAAGGACATAGTCATGGCCTCAAAGAATTTAAAAATGATGGTATTTGACTTAGGTAATGTGTTTAACATAAAAAATTGTACATATAATTTGCATTAACACCAATTGTTTCAGATTTTACACTATGGCCGTTTTGGGTGGATACTCATGTAACACCACCTTTTAAAAAGAAGTAAGCACATCCATAACATAATTATTACATTCACATCGTCTCATTTGAATACCATATTTTTTCTAGGAAAAACATTTTTTTTACAGTTCTAATGGCATTGTGGTGGACAGCTACAATTCTGAAATAGAATATTACCCTCAAGTGCCAGAAATCTTGCAAAAACTCTATGATGAAGGGTATACTTTGGGAGTAGCGTCAAGAACATCTGAAATTGAAGGTGCTAAACAGTTACTTCAACTGTTTGGATGGGATAAATATTTTTCATATCTTGAAATATTTCCTGGTAGAAAAACTACACATTTTAATAAGTAAGTACAAAATAATTTTAAATAAGCTATTCGCAATTGCAATGCGTTCATGTTGAATTTGCATTTTTTTAATGCCAAAAAACAGAAACATACCCACTACTAATATATTCATTATTTGACATAGTTAATTAGAGAAAAATACCAGAATGTTTGTATTGAATGTGTTTTTTAAGAAATATGATTTGGCACCATAAACAACCCTATTGTGATCAATCAGGGAATTGAGAGTGGTGGAATATATATATATATATATATATATATATACAGTGTAGGTAAAATTTTAAGGTCGGTATGGTAAAATTTAACAGGATATCTAACGCAGATATAAAATCATATTTTCAACGAATTAGACAAAGATAACAATCATATTTCCCCTTCGTCTCCCCTCCTAAAATTCTTTTAACACTCATTGGCCATTGCCCATTAGTGAGACGATTAGTTCCGATCAGATATTCTCTGGTTCCGATCCTAATATACCTAAAAAACTAGAGGTGGGTCTTCTCGTTTTTTTAATTTTTATCGGAACCGTTTTTCGTAAACTGTAACTAGTTGATTGTTTACCAGTATTCAAATTAGCGAGTACACAAACATATTAGCTATTATCGTTTATGTGTATAAGTATTGAAATAAAAGAACCTAACGAAGGATATATTTATTGTAACTTGAAAAATAAATTAAATAATACAAATGGTACTTAAATAGTTACATTTACATTACACATTATTAAATCGCGAATCGTCTAAATTGACATTTAAAAACATTAGTTTTTCCACTTTTCTTGTTAATCGCGTTCTTCTTTTATTTAAAATTATACCAGATGTTAAACATGTGTTCATAAGGAAAAGATTTTGTTACAATACTACAACATTTTATGAATATAGTGGTTAAGTTACGATATACATGGCGATGGTTTTTTCACCACGGTAATGGACAGTTCCAATCTCCGTTCGAAATTGTTTGTGGGTAATATATCATCAGACAATTACATGTCGACTTCTTTTATACCTCTCGATACAGGTGTATGTTTAGATGAGTCATGTCCAATTAATTCATCAAAAATACACCATGGACTTAAGTCATCTTTATCAGTTTCTTTTTCTTGGACTGATTGATTTTCAAGATTTACTAAACTTTTCGTTTCATCCGTTTTCCATAGTTAAAGAACCAGCTTTTAAAAAGTTTGCAGGATGGATTCCTGGATATAAACCGCCAACAAGAAAAACTTTGTCAGGTTCATTACTTCAGGAATGTTATGTCAAAAGTGAGCAAATTATTAGATCGCAAGTTGTTAAAGAAGTAGAAAATATCTGTATTACTACTGACCTCTGGACATCTGGAGTAACTGAGAGTTACTTCGCATTAACAGGACAATATTTAACCGAAAATTTAGTATTCAAAACTTTTTTATTAGGCTGCTGCCATTTTTCTGGAAACCATAATCCAGAAAACAGCGATTACTGAAATTATTAATCAGTCGGGTCTAAAACGAAAAGTAAATTTTGCAGTAACTGATAATTCCTAAAATATGGTCAAAGCTATTAAATATGTTTTGTTTTATGATGACTGTGATTTATGATGATGATTAAATTTATTGGTGGGGGACGCACTTAAATGCTGTCGTGTACAAATAGATAAAATAAAAAGTCCTTTTTTCGACAATTCTGCAAAAAAAAAACATTTCAAAAAAGTACCTTATCTTCAGAAAGGCTTTTAAAGTATTAATTACAACAGAACACAGTTCCCAAACGGCCAATCCAAGACGTGGAAACTAGGTAGAACTTCACCCATTACATGTTAAAAAGAATGACCGAGTTAGAAGAGGCAACCCGTTCCACATTGGTATTAAATAATACAGACTTAGACTTAAACCTAATCTAAATAAAGAACACTGGATTATTTGTTCTCAACTTTCCCAAATTTTACGGCCGTTTAAAGAAATAACATTTTAACAGAAATTTTGCTCCTACGCTCTTAATGATAAACTAGCACGACCCACCTCTACTTCTCGTTACTCGATCTTTTGACCAGACTAGACTAGACTAGACGTTGCCAAATAAATTAGTGTATGAATATTTTTTAATTTGGCGTTATTGTATGCATGTTTAAATGTTTATTATTTCATATTGGGAAATTATTTTGATGTTTAGATTTTTAGTTCGGAAATCGTACTTAAAATACGAAACATTAATAAATTTTATTTATATAAAACGATTTCCGAAATGGAAATCAAAATGTTATATTACAATTATTGTAAAGAAAACTTGTGGCATATTCCCAATAAAAAAACAGTAACCTACCATTTAAATCAATTTCGCCCAAATTTGATTATCTTGAGCATTTTATCTTCTTGATAGAACATTGTTCAAATGCAAAAAAAGACAACAGGTCAAATAAAACCAATAAGTTTGGCAACGTTGAATTTCCCCTTTTTTAATATTTCCATTCGGCGATATAAAGGGCGTACCTAATATACCTCTCTCTTTTTAAACAGCTGTTTCTCACTCCATCTCACGTAAGGTCCATACCGACCATAAAATTTTTCCTACACTGTATATATATATATATATATATATATATGCATTTGCTACCCATACACCTCCGATTGCTACATCCTTAGTTCGAGTTTACCTCCGATTTTACGAGTTCGCCTCCGAAATCGGAGGCGAACACGTACACCCATGTTTCTTGTGCATTTAGTTGCTAACTCGTCTGTATAAATTGTTTGACAAGTTTTTAACTGGAGGCAAAATCGAGTCAAAATCATCTCTAGATATACATTTTAGTTCACCGTATCTGGCGTCAGAGGCGCAGCTTGTTATACGTGTATACTCTGTCGTTAGCCAAAGGTAGTCGGCGCCTCCGATATATACGCTATGTTCAGCGGTTCACTTCACCTCTTAGCTGTGGCAACATCGCAATCATTTAATGGCGTAATGTAGTCAGGAGCTGATATACAATGATTACATATTATGAATAGCTAATCATAAGAAACTGAAACGTTAATATTTATTGTTTTACTTTTCCGCACCGTGATAGAAAATTTCATGCAAGTATGCATTTGAATAAATTCGTATAGTTACGGGGTAATCTTAAATTTATCAGATCCTAGGTATATATCTATTTTATCTATTTATAAAATGGTGTAAGTGTTCATGTCCGTGATTTAAATTAGAAATTCTAAAAGGACAAGTTTTAATTTTTTCTTCGCGTACATTGCTTTAATAGTAATAGCACATACATTATTATGAAGCATACTTTTATTGTACTAAACGTACCTCACAATTTTATATTTTATTAACATTGTCCTTATTCTTATTCCTTTATTTTGATGTTAATGTAGCTTATAATATGCGTACAGTTTTTTAAACTTCTGTACATTGTTGGGTTTATCTAAAAGAATCAGCGCGCACAACTGGCAAAAGTGTTTGCTACACGTATCTCTCTGAACTGACAATTCATTTTATGGAACAATAAAACACTGAAAACTTTGTTTTCAAACTTCCACAAAATTTATTTAAAACTCTTATCACTACAGCTGTTTCGGCTGATTGACTTTCTCAAGTGATCTATTTTTGGCATGCGTTTACACTTTATAGTCTCTAGTGAAATAGGTTGAGGAGGGGACAACTGTTTGTCTCAACTTGGTCATTCAGAATTATATCTGTGTTTTTGTGAAGAATTTTAAATTCGTCATTAAAAGAATGATCGTGATCTAGAAGGTGAAGTGCGTATGTAGAATATGTTTTTCAATTATTGAAAGCCCTTTTATGTTCTGCTATATGTTTATTAAAGTGTCTACCAGTTTGACCGATATAAGTTTTTGGGCAGTCACCACATTTAAGTTTGTACATCTTCTTAGTCGTTAACCTGATGCAGGTATCGTGATATCATGAAGCTATTAGCTAAATTTCCCAATGTTCCTCCACGTTTTTCTATCTTCTGCCATTCTAGCATATTCTGACAATGGAGCGCCAATGGTAGCAACAATATGATCCGTGTATCGTGTGGGAGATCTACCTCTATTTTTTTTGCCTTCTATTTTGCCCTGGATGGTAAGTTTTTCAAGACCATTTCTTCGAAGCACATATCCATAATAGCTTATTATTTGTTCTGATATTTGTGTTCTTAGTCTTTTCTTTATGTTTAGCTGGTCCAGTATGGATTCATTTGTTCTTCGGGCCACCCATAGTATTCTCAGCATTCGTCTCCAGCAGTACATCTCAAATACATCTATGCTCTTTTTGTCTTTCTCAGTAAGGGTCCAGCATTCCGATGCATAAGTAAAAACTGGAAAAACTAGACTTCTTACTATAAGTCTCATTTTGATTAATTTTGGCGCTTTTTGCGATTGCTACAGCCCAGATACACAAATTTATCTACAACAGCGATGTTGTTTATCATGACCAGATGATTTTGATTGTTGTTAGCTCTATCAATTATCATGATTCTCGTTTTATCTCTTTTTATTTTAAGGCCCATCGTTAAGCTTACGTCTTTTATGCGTTGTAGCAGGTGAATCAATTTAGCTTCAGAACTAGCGAGGTTAGTAGTATAATCTACATATCTCAAGTTGCAAATCTTCTTCCCGCCAATGGTGATGCCACCGTTCCAGTCCTCAGTAGCTTTCCGCATTAACAATTCACCATAGATGTTAAATAGAATTGGGCTTATTATGCAACCTTGTCTCACTCCCTTTGTGACCCTGAAACTATCGGTTAGCTCCCCATTTATTCTAACTCTGGCATAATTGTTATAGTACAGGCTTTTAATTAGCAGTATCAGATGATTGGGGACTCCCATTTCAGACAAAACCTGCCACATTTTACTCCAGTTGACCAAATCGAAAGCTTTACTACAATCTATGAAGCACAAATATGTTGTGATGTTGAATTCTCTGGATTTTTCTACAATCTGCCGTACGTTTAAAATTTGTTCTCTAGTACCACGTCCGGGGACGAAATTTTCTTGTTCCTCCGCAATGTTAGGTAGTAAAAAGGGCT